TTTATGGATGCTAGTGGGATGGATGACAGACGACATAACACAATTGGGAATCCGCCCGTGGACAAATCTTGACTTTCAAAATGCCAAGACCAATATCCTATAATACTGGAAGTGGTTGTGACAATGGAAGTGTGTGAGTTATGCGGCGTCTGGAAGTTTTGTGTCGTTACCTTTGGTTGAATGTGTGGTTTGAATTTGAACTATTGTTAAAATGTTTTGAATTCAAAATGTTTTTAACATGTGTGTACTACATACGGTAGCATTTGAATTACTATTACGCTGTAATGTATTAGAAATCAGGTTTATGTATGAAAATAAATGGAATAAATAATGAAGAAAGATGTTTTAGCCTGGCAAGAACAATAGAATATCATGTGGAAACCAAGTTTTGGTGGAAACTAATCAAAACCACATGGAAACAATATTTTGAAGTTTTTGAAAAAGCTGGAAAAAACAAGATCTTAAGAGTGCGATGTTTTATTAGCATGTGAAATTCCCAAGTTCAAAAACATTACCATTTACAAGGTATGAAAAAAAATCAATATTAAATAGTTCCAAACAGTAAACGTCAATATTCATTGTTGAATTTATTTTTCTATGGTTCATAAATGGTGATGTGTTGGAACTTGAAATTTCGCATGGCAATAGAACATCAAACTCTTAACATATCATATATTTTTTCAGATTTCTAAAAACTTTCAAAGTGTGGTTTCCATAAAAAAAAACTTTGAAACTTGATTTTCATGTGGTATTCTCTCAGCAAGAATAAGTAACCATGCCCATTCTTTAAAGTCGTGAGTATTCTCCTTCCACGTACTACCTCCGTCCTGGTTTATTAGTCCTCTTTGTATTCCATGCCATATTTTGATCATAAATTTAACTAACAAAATGTTCATGCATGTCACCGAAAACTATATCATTGAAAACTATGTTCTAATATGAATCCAACGATATAATTTTTGTTGACATGCATTAACATTTTGTTAGCTAAATCTTTAGTCAAAATTTGGCACGGATTACAAAGGGACTAATAAACCAGGACGGAGATAGTAAATCTGACAGACACTAACCCTAACACGAGTAACCAAAACAAAATAAGCCTGGCAAATTGATGGGGCCAAATGTGGTGCCCCGCCAGGAGCAATGAATTGCTTAAGTTGGAACTGCCGGGGGGCAGGGAACCACCGGATAGTTCGTGAGGTGTTGGCCCTTGCAAAAGCCAACTTCCCCAAGTTTGTCTTTCTTTCAGAGACAATGCAAACTAAAAGAAAAGATGGAGAAGCTTAAATGGAGACTGGGACTAAAGGGTTTCAGTGGTGTTAGTAGTAATGGCAGAAGTGGACGTTTGGCTCTATTTTGGGACGAAGCTTTAACAGTGACTATTTTGGATAGCTGTGCACGTTACATTGACGTGCACGTCATGGACAACGGTACTGATGCTAGTTGGCGGGGTACCTTTATTTATGGTGAACCTCGGGTGGAAGATCGTCATTTGATGTGGGATCATCTAGCTAGATTACGTGTTGTTTCACAAGACTCGTGGTTTGTTTGCAGAGATTTTAATGAGGCTATGTGGCAACATGAACACCTATCCCACTATATGAGATCTGGAAAATCTAATGTTGGCGTTTTGGTAGTGCTTGGAGGTGTGTGAGTTGGAGGATTTATGGTTCTCTAGTTTCCCCTATACATATGATAATGGATAGTCTGGAGATCATAACGTCCAAGTAAGGCTGGACCGGACGGTTGCGGACGATGCATGACGAGACTTATTCCCTTCGGCAAAGGTGCTGGACCTAGCCTCGCCGTGCTTGGACCACTGCCCGGTACTTGTTCAGCTCGAGGTCGTCGCCGACCTTCCAAGACAGCGCCCTCCACTACGTTATGAAATCATGTGGCAGCGACAATCAACGCTACCAGAAGTTGTAGCTAATGCCTGGGCGAAGTCAAGGCCTTCTAGTCACTTGGGGGAGGTCGCAAACTCCCAATCATAGCAAAATTACACACGTGGGGTGCTGAGAACTTTGGTCACGTCACTAAAAAGATTGAGGAACTTAGAGTTGATCTTGAGGAGCTGAAATCGCAATCAGCTGATCGTGACTCGATCCGTGCAAAAATGAATGAGATGGATGAGTTACTGTATCACAAGGAGATGCTCTGACTACAACGCTCTCGTACTACATGGCTGAAAGAAGACGACCGTAATACTAAATACTTTTTTCGTCGAGTTGTTTGGCGGTCGCGTTGTAATTACATTCAACGGCTTTGTTGGACGGATGGTACTTGGTGTAATGTTCCGACTGATATGGAGCGTATGGCAGCCTCGTATTTCAAAGAGGTTTTTACTAAAGATCCCACCCTCTCTCCTAAAATCGGTGTTGGATTGTATTCTGCCTAAGGTGACACCCGAAATGAATGCTTCTTTGTGTGAACCATATATACAGAAAGAAATATCAAACGCCTTATTTCAGATAGGCCCACTAAAGGCGCCAGGTACGGATGGGTTCCCGACACGTTTTTATTAACGCAATTAGGCGGTGCTTAAGGTTGAAATAGTTGTTGTAGTGCTTGAGTTTTTTGAAACAAGAGTCATGCCTAAAGGTGTCAACAACATGGCGATCGTCTTAATTCCTAAAGTTCAACATCCCAAAGAATTAAAGGATTTGAGACCGATTAGTTTGTGTAATGTGTTATACAAAATAGTTTCGAAGTGCAGGCCTGGCAACTACTTGATGATCCAGACAGTTTGTGTTCTCGCTTATTATGTGCGAAGTACTACCCCGATAGGAACCTGTTGGATACAGTTTTTACTGGAAATCCTTTAACTGTATGAAAGGGTATTGAACATGGTCTAGAGCTGGTTAAAAAGGGATCATTTGGCGGGTTGGAGATGGTTCTTTGATACGGACATGGAGGGCCCCTTGGATTCCCCGTGGCCATAATTTTTTTCCTGTTACACCTAAAAGGAATTGTCGATTCAATCATGTGTCTGATTTTGTTGATGAGAACGGTGCATGGATGATGCAACGATTGAACGACCACTTTTGGCTGATGGACGTACGTGAAATCCTCAAAATACATACCTCACCAAGGCAACGTCAAGATTTCTTTGTCTGGCATCCGGAGAAGAATGACCAGTTCTCTGTGAAAAGCGCGTACCACTTGGCGACGACAGTGCATGATGACCAATTGGCCGGAGGGGCGTCCAACACTAACCCTGACGAGAACCGATCCATCTGGAACCTGATATGATGGCAATCTTCGATACCACTGCGGATGAATCATACAGTATGGCGAGCGGCTTCAGGAGCACTCACTACTGCTACGTACATGCAATATAGGCACCTAGCGATGCGCGATACGTGCCCAATTGGTGATATTGTTGATGAGGACAGCTACCATGCTTTGATTGCGTGCAGACATGCACGTGCAATCTGGGAGGCCATGAGGAAGGTCCCAAGACCAGCTACTTAGTAATAGTGGCAAAGAATGGCTACTGAACGTGCTGCTTAATTAATTGTACCAATGCATAGCGTGACCGTATGATTATGCTTATTTGGCGTATTTGGCAATTACGGAATGATCTTACTCATGATAAAGAGGTTATCCCGAAACTGGATCAGCTCAGCCTCGGCTTCTGAAAATTCAGTGATCCCATGCTCCCGTGCCAGCGCAATGCAATGAACAGACTAGACGTAGGAGTATATACCAATGTTAAACGCGCCCGAGGTTGGTTGCTCTTGCGTGAAGGTAAATTCTCCATCCCGATCCCACTTAAAGCAAGGCGGGCGCACGAACCCCGTCGCACGTTGGCGACGTTACTGGCTCCTTGCACGATGCACCTAGGATCGGGTTACACTACACCGGGAGAGCTCAAGACGAGGCTACTACTACCATATTGCTGAATTCCTACGATTGCTCTTTTTTTTAGACCGGAAGCTCCTACGGCTGCTCTTGCATCAATGTTAATCCCACCTTAATCCGCGTTTCCTATCCCGGTCCACACTGGAAACGAGATGCCCGTATGCGCACGCCAACAAGTGGACGAGCGCAAATACATGTATAGCATTTCGATGCACCAGGGTCGTTGACAAGAGGACGACTTGTGTTCATTTTACTCAAAACTTTCAGGTTATATACTGTTATAATCTAGCTGATCAAGCAGTATAGAGGTGCAACTTCTGGAGGAGATACAGAGGAAAAGAAGAGGATTGCTATGCCATGATGTCTCTGTTCTTTGTCACACTTTAATTCGGGCATGTTTGGATTACACTCGATCAGCCCCAGTTCCACCGGATGCACAGAGAAACTGAGCTAAAATTCCCTGCCAATCCGAAGGAATCGGGTCTGGACAACGCGATAACGCAACATAAAAACTTTCCTGTAGGAATGATAAGTGTATCGTCTTGCCCTCAACATCTATACAAGAATATCAGCCCTCTTTCAGAACCTATCCCCCCACCCTATAACATCTACACATTCAAGTGAGCGGCTCTGATCTCTCTGCCCCCAGCCACAGGCCTTCCTCTCTAGCACAAGCTCGGCTCCTCAGGACGATGCTTGCCATTTGCCGCAGGATAATCCCAGTTCAGCCATGGCATGTCACAAAAGAATGGCATGAGCTGGTGCACTCTGTGCCGGCAGGGAAAATGTCACGAGGCCCGGAGAAGGTCGGGATCGCGCAAACACTCCTGAGGGTTAGCATAGAAGTAGTCCTCTTCCTTGGGCTTGTCAGGAATCACCGTCCTTCTCGAAGCTGATCCCATCCGGTTTGCATGGACGGACCTGATTAATTTAGAGAACTCATCCCACGGCAATGAGCCGCTCTTATACCGATCGACCAGATCAACGATAATTTTTCGGTCCAATAAGATTGTTTTCTTGAATCCCATGAACCTGTAGGATAAAAACATGAAATACTACATGAATTTCCTCTATAGTTAACAATCAGGTTAAAGATGCTGAAATGTTCAGATCTAGCATGCACATGATGTCGGATTTTAGCAGTATGAAAATGTTCTGATTAGATTATTTTCGTTACGAAGCAGAGCTATGACCAAATGGAATATATACCTGCGATGCCCCTCGACAACTTTAGCCATGTTCCCATCATATGTTGGAACAAATATGTCGCTTTCCAGTGACACCAAGTAATCGAGTGCGGCCATCTGTGATGAATGGTTCTGAAAGAACCTGAGATCAGACGGTTCCAAGAGCGTCTCCTTTCTCACCTATGCAACAATGTAAATTCATCATCAGCAAAACGGACATAAGAGATATGCAATCATGCAGACCAGTGATAGCTATGAAATGCTGCAAAGATGTAACCATAGGTGTACATGCACCAATTGATACATACCACGTTGGGATACGCTGAAGTAAGAGAAGCCATTCTGCGTTTGCCGCCATATATTTCTCCAGCCGCAATGTATATCTGCATACTTCTGTCAACCTCCAATGCTCTGAGGACAAGAGCAATCTCCTCAGGTGTTAATGGGCAAAAGCCATCTTTTCTTTTCACATAAGAGTCAATGACTTTCTCTTTCCACCAGGGGTAAGCATATCTGCGGTTGGCGAGCAACTCAGCTGTTAATATGTAACAAAACACAGATCTACTTGATGTACGAGAGCCGGCATATTTTTACCTCATCCTGGTGAGCTCATCTGCCTCCTCACGCGTGCAACCTTCAGTACAGCCAGAGAACGCCAGCATATCCATTTCATATCGTAAATGAAGAACCAAGAAAGGGCCATTTTTGCGGAGAATTCGAATCACTCGTCTACCCAACTCTTCAATTTGGGGTGTGAACTTCAGTGAACCATAGTTAACTCGGCAACGCAACTTCTGGATATCCAGGGGCAAACCATTATTGGCAAGCCTAGCATCAGTTCGGTTTAGATGGAGAACCTTGTGTTTCTGAATCAAAGGAAGTATCTGTGCCGAAAGAATTTAACAGTAAGCATTTTCACACAAAAAAGTAGCATTGTAAGGTTAAGTAGCAAAAGACACATCTAACAATACAAAAAAAATCTAACCTGATTATGGTAATAGGAGATATCTGACCAACTAATAGGTGGCATTGAGTGAAACATCCCCACTTCCACTCTTTGCTTCATTCTTGGAGGCAATTCTCTAAGTATACGAACCTCGCCTCTCAGAGAAGTTATGAAATGTTCAACGTCGAATATATCCTGAAACTCACTAGAAGCAAAACAAGAGGATATTCGCATAAGTATACAGCCATAGGGGTAAGCATAAAACCAACTCTAACTATGCTCGAAAGCAAATGGGAAAAGTAGAGCTATATCAAAATAGCAAGTGCACCTTGGGTCATTCCAAAATGATGTCTTATCCAACTCGGGAACTATCAGAGTCACATTCAAGTATCTTGCAATGGCAACCATGTCACATATCTGAGTAAACAGACAACGAATGAGAGGGTTATTAGATGCTACTCCATAAAGCATGATGGTCTGCCAGAAAATCAGTTACTGAAAAAAATGGAGAGTTTTCAAGCTGCTTACAGCTGCTCGCATTTGGTTAAGCCCGCCATTGCATGAAACCATCAGATAGCCATTGTTCCTATAAATTCCTAGCAGAACAAACATGGAGACAGTAAAAGATTAGAAAAGGCAAGGACAACTAAAAATCATACGAGCACAATGTACACCATGCGCCGAAACGCGCCGTAATGTGCATAAATTTTCCTAGCAAGTGAACAAAAAATTCTACGCCCAATAGTGTTGAAAATGTAAATTTGACCACATCAATTGATGTCGCGTTGAAATAAACCATGGCATGGCATGTACTACAGACAGAAAATCACCAAATTGTGCCATTATTGAGGCTACTACATGGTTTTTCTATAAAGAAGATAAGCCAACCTATTAATTGATACACTAAGACCAAGCTCGGGTTCATTCATGCCAGTCCCTAAATGCACTACAATTGGTACCAAAAAGGTAAAGGCCAACCCATAAATATCGAGTTCAAGCAATCAAAAATGTCGGTACATGCTTCTTTTCCTCCATTGGGCAATGATTAACCAATTAGAACTACCAATTTGGGATCAAATAACATCTGGAAATTTGCATAAAAAAGGTTGAATTCAAAATCATTGGAGATGACAATGCAAAGCATGGCAAATCTCATCGGCGAATTGTTGCAATCCCAAGAACGACAATGCGGAGCAGAGTTGGTAGTAGTAGCACTTACTCCTTGGCGGCAAGACGGCCTTCTCCGCCACGGGCTCCGTCATGGCGAGCCGCGCCGTCCGGCACGACGGCCAGCCCATGAGGACGCGCGGGCCCCACGTCTCCCCGACGGCCGTGAGCTGGACGAGGCAGGTCCAGAGCAGCACCGTGGTGGTGGCGCGGAGCACCCACAGCTTCATCATCCGCGACCGCGCCACCGCGGCCACCACAGACGGGAGTCTCAGCTTGCCCGCCCCGCCCGCCTTGAGGCCCATTGCCGCCGCCGCCTTGCACCCCATCGGAAACACGCACGGGCGAACCACCCTACGCGTGGAGCATCAAGACGCCACCAAGAAGGGAGGGAATCGCCTCGTCTCCAATCAGCGCAGCACGGCGAGGACGACGGCGGACGACGCGAGCACGGGCAATGCGCTGGCTATATATACAGCGCCGCCCGCCGCGTCCAATGGCAGTGCCCCCGAAACCGGCGGGAAACGGGGAGGGATGACGCGTCCCCGCGGCCAGCTAGCGGCAATCCGGCGCCGGTTGCCAATTTTACCCCCTCAGCCTTATCACCTTCCTTATAACGGCCGAATCCGGAATAGGAAACCCCGGCCGGAGATGGGCCACCGCGCCAGGCAGCAAAACACGGCCCGCGCCACGTCGAGGCCGTCAGAGGCGAGCGGGGAGAGACGGCCGGTGAATGCAGTGTGCCGGCCGGTGGAATGGTGGATCTCGGCTCGCCCGTGCCCTGCCGCGGGGCTCGGAAGCAGGTGACGAGTGGGAGAATGCGGGGCGTGAGGCGAGGAGGAGGAGCGATTCGCGTGCGGGGCGTGAAGTTATTTTCGGGCCCTCGCGTCGGTGGTTTTGGTTATATTCATGCGTGGGCGGACGTGTCCGGGTGGCCGGCGGTGGGTGGCGCCCGGAAATGCACACGGCGGAGTGGGGAGCAGGAGCGCACGTGGGCGGTGCGGAGCTCGGGGCAGCGGAAGCTGAGGCGGGCCGGGACGGCTGTGATGGACGCCCTTGAGCCCGGGTCAGGGGGGGATGGGGAACTGCCGCCGCGGATGCCGTTAGATCGCGGCGGGCCCACGGTGCAGGCGGAGAGGAGCAACAGTGGTCTCGTCGTCACGTGTTGGTTAAGAGCAGTGACGGTGAGAGATCAGATCGCCAGGCGAAGTCACGTGTCTCGGGACTCGGAGCGTCAACCACGCCTAGCCTAGGAGAGGTAGGGAAAATATCAGGTGATACCATGCCTTAGATGCTCCCATGATACAAGCTTCTGACCCGTCGAATCTTAGATCCAACGGCTCCTAATAGGTTCTGAAAGGTTGCCGTACTTGTTCGCGATTTTTAAACTTCAAAAGGTCTTTTTTGCAAAATGTTGAAAGCCTTCTGAAAGCCGTTAGATCAGACCCAACGTCCAACGGCTCCTAGGAGCTCGTATCATGGGAGCATCTAAGGAGGTAGTACTAACCAGACAGTGGAAAAATGAAGCCGTAATCTCAAGCAAGAGAACGATTTTGACTCCTACATTTGGCAAGCGATGCATGTTGATGTAAAATCATCGGATGATTAGTTTCTGTTAGAAGTTGGGCGCGCTTTGCTGGGTTGTTGGTGTTGTTGAGATTCTGAACAAAAATACTCGTTTTGTTTTAAAATACTCCCTTCATTTCCTTATACAAGGTCACAGAATTACAGATATTAAGATAAAATTTAATGACTGCTTTGCAAGTCCGCTTTTCTTTTTGTTAACTGGGATCATTAATACGTCCACATGCATGCAAGGAAGGAATTAGAAGGAAGTAGCACAATGTCATTATGACTACATGCATGCAAAAAAATTTGACTTTCTAAAGAACTAATACTCCTTGTATTTTAGAACCGGTGGAATATATAGTTTGGCGGATGACGAGACGATGGAGTGTGATTTATATTTATTTATAATGCGGTTATTTGGTGGGCTTTTTCATGATGTGATCCTATGTTATGCGCTAATCAACTCATATTTTTATGGGTAAATTTCTGTGTTGGTGGCTACATGTATTATATTGGTGCTATAGTATCATCACATGGTGGCGCTTCTTTTTTCTAGGTGGTAAGAGGATGCACAGGGTTGATATGTTTTTCTAGCCGATTGTTGTTGATTGATTTCAAAAATCGTCTTCCCGATCAAAGTCGTAAATCAAATTCAAAATTGAATATCTCAACGGAATAAAAGAGGTTCAAAATTAGGAATATGGTGAGTGCTCCTTGAAAAATTATTGACCCGATCAAAATCAGGTGACCAAATTCTAAACTAAACACATCAATTAATTGTGAGGACTTAAAAATTAGAAAGCATAGTGTATAGTACATCTATATATATACCAATATAAAAAGACCTAAATAGGCAGATCCAATTAATCTCAGCCATCGAATCATGTCAATCCAATGACCTAGACTGCTTCAATGTCGAGCGCTCAATACGTTTAGCGTGCAATTACTTTCATGCCAAAATAGTGTTAATCACATAATAACATGCAAAAAATATCCTACATAATATCCGCATGCATTTAATATACTTTGAAATTAACGTGCATTGCACGTACACATTGACTAGTAATATAAAAGAATAAAATGAGAGTTTTGAGAAATTGTTAACTTGATCAGAATTGGCTGACCCAATTCCAATTGGACACCTCAATTGATTGTGAGGCTTTTTACCCCTAGGGAGCTCAGTGATATACTAGAAGGGTTGGGTGCGCTTTGCTGCGCCGTTGGTGTTGTTGAGATTCTGATTTTTTACTCATTTTGTTTTAAAATATAAGATGTATTACTTTTTTGAAGTCCAAACATCTTTGAGTTTGATCAAATTTATGAAGAAATATATCAAAATTCATGATATCAAATTGGTGTTATTAGATTCATAATGAAATGAATTTCCATTTTTTGGCTTAATATTGTGGTTGTCGATTTTTTTGCTCTAAATTTGGTCAAAGTTAATGAATCCTAACTCTCTAAAGAACTAATGCCCTTTGTATTTTGAAACTGGTGGAATATTTAGTTTGGCGGATGGGGGAGTGTAGCGACCAGACCTCAAACGGTCCAATCTCTGTGCTCCGGTGTCATCCCTGGATCAGTAACGCTGACACCACACGGTACTTGAAGGATTTATAACAGAGTAGCAATCACATACTTATTACATCGAGTGTCTCAAAAGAGTACTTATTACAATAAATATGGCATAAGGCCATCTAATAACGATAACAGCGGAAGGCTTGGAAGATAAGTGAGTCCATCAACTCCAACGGCATCACTGAGTATAGAACCACGACCTAAAAGCACCTTACTCATCGTCTGAAAAGTCTGCAACATGAACGTTGCAGCCCAAAACGGGTCAGCACATGGAATATGCTGGCAATGTAACGCATAGAGAGCAATGAAAAAATAAGGCTATACTACATGCATATTTGGCGGGTGGAAAGCTCTATGGTTACAGTTTTGCGTAAAGCCAATTTTTCCCTACTGTAAAGAAATAAATTTTATTTAACTATCATGGTGGTTGTTAAAACATTGAGAGTGTAGACACCCTCTCAATCCCAATTAAACATCATCATTAAAAACCCAATAAATTAATTAGAGTAACATGATGAGATTCACATGATAATCCAAGTACTAGATACTCAAGATGTCCATAACCGGGGACACGGCTAACCATGATTAGTTTATACACTCTGCAGAGGTTTGCGCACTTTTTCCCACAAGACTCGATCTCCTCCGTTGGGATTCTCGCACTTCATGGTGTTTGAGAAACGGATGACCGAGACATAGTCTTTTACAAGCGCTAGCACCTTACGATCGGGTTGACCGTTACACCTACTTTCCCCTACATCTGCTAGTCTACCACTATAAGAGTTCGCACAACTTAATCAACTATGCTAGAGCCCATAGTAGCTTGTGGCTGCACACGGAAGTTTGTAGTATGAATAATTTCATGATCCCTTTGAGCCTGGGTGGCGGTCCAAAAGAAAAACAGGCAATCGCTGAAATACCCAGGTCCCTCAATCCACCCAGATGTGTGTTTAAGTTGCCACCTTAGATAAATCATTAATTTAACAATCTCACATCTGTCATGGATACACTCACCCAATCCACGTCTACTAGCATAGCATGGCAATATAAGCAAATGTAGAAGTAACTCCCAAGGGTTTGATAATAACACAGGTAATAGGTACTACCTCATCTACTTCCCCAAAACCACAATCTAATTAGATCGTAATCATGCAATGTGTGAGGATTGATCTAATGCAACAAAACCAGGTAGTAGGAGGTATGATCAAAGTGTTACTTGCCTTGCTGATGATCCGCAAAACCTAGCGATTCGAAGTAGCAAGCGGCGCACTCCGGGTACTCTATCGCAAACAAACAAGCATACAATAAGTACTCAACTAATGCACAGGTAAAACTCAAATAAGAGATCTAACCAGAAAGTTCAACTTAAGAACTCCGATTGACAAAAAGAACCAAGTCAAACAAAGCAACGAAAGACAAACGGCAAAAGAAACAAGCTTCGTTTACTATTCTGGATCTAGGTCAAATTTTACAGAGGCAAAAACTTATTTGAGTTGGTTAAACGGAAAGAGGGTTTCGACATGAAACTCCAGGCGCTTGAATCGTCTGATTCCGATAAACGAGCGAAAAGTTATACTAAAACGAAAATCGGATCAGAAATCGCGATAAGAAAAATCGCGGAATAAATCCGAGAAAAAAAAAATGACGAACTGATTAACGAACGAACGTTCATTATCTGGATCTTAACAATGTACGCGTTCGTTAAAACGAATGAACGAGCGAATGCTCGATTGACCTTGTCGGAGACGGCGGGGCTCCGGCGGCGGTGACGGCGGGCGGGGCGCGACGGCGGCGCGGCAGCAGCGGCGGCGGCTAGGCTCGGGTGCGGCTTAGGGTTAGGGCAGTGGTGGCTTGGGATGATTTGGGCCCGGGGCACGCTATATAAAGGCCCCCCCTATGAGTCCGGGCCAAACACGGCCCGTAGTCGGTTCGCTCTTTTTTTTAAAAAAATATTACGCGTAGAAAAACAAACAAAAGGAATACTAAACGGACTTCAAAAATTCTGAAATAAATTTTCCCCGGCTTCTAAAATCAAGCCGCACAGAATGAACATTTATTTGGGACCTAAATGCAATTTTGGAAAAACGCGTTTCTAAATTCAAATAAAATTGCAAATAAATCCAAAATAAAATCTTATTTGATTTTATTATTAAATCCTCAATATTTCTTTATTTTGGGAAAGTCA